AACGGTTATGCTTTTTATTGTTAACAGATCCAGTTTCCATAAATTTGTTCAATAATTCCGAAACATATTTGTGTCGTACATTTCTTCCTCTCTAGCTCTAGCTCTAGCACTATTTCATTTCTGGTAGTAGAAACTCACTATTTCAATCCGTTCTCGAAGCGTATATACCATTGCCTCTCAAGAATTCACAAACACAGAAACACCAATTGTAACTTCATCTGCTAGGTAATCGTTATTGTAGATTGAGTCAAATACAAAATGAAGAGAATATCGAATTCAAACTTAACTAGGGCAAAATAAGAATTTTTTGAAGTATACTCCACAAAAAACCTGAATAACATATTGTACAGGAATTCATTCAGGGTGGCTTGTTTTCAACTTGAATAATTTGTAGCTCCCAAATCAAAACCATAAGCTTCAGACCATATACAGGGCTATTCAAATTCGTTTCTGTACATGGGGATCTCGTAAACGATAGAAGATAGAGTGTCGGTTGAATAGTTGCAAAGTTGCATATTTTAGAGACCTATTCAGTGATGTAAAAAAATTGAATGTAGCTTTTTTTTTGTTCTAGAGATATACAGGAAAAACCAAAAAATCCCCAATTATTTTTTTGCTTATATCTTCTTTATTAACAGACATATTGAAAATCTGTCCACATTTTACTATTGGCACTTGATGTGAGCTATCAGAATATATCCATGAATCATTTACACAGGGTGTTATCCGACTTGGGCCAACCACATCTTTGAATTTTTAAATACGGACCTGTATTTTTTGTTGTAGTTTTTGTATCATCGACGTTCACTTGATGCTTAGAAATCAAATTCAATTGTATATTTCGGGATGTTTCGGTAATATTTGATTATAATTGTGGGTTTTATTCCCTTTTAAATTACGGCCCTGTAAATTGGTTGACTTAGTTGAATAAGAACACAATAGCAACTTTCACGTGTCCATGTGTACAGTAGAGTTTTTTGAGTTTGTTTTTTCATTTTTTAAGTACCACTCATATTTTTTCCATTGCTCTGAGCGTTTTCTACAATGAACTTCGAATAAGAAAACCTTTTATGATTATCTGAAACATATCTACATCAAAAATATATTATATGTGTTTCAATAAGCAGAAAAAAAAATGATAGCAATAATAACATCCGAAGTGAATACTATAATTGTAATGAAAATTAAAATGAAGTAATTTATATTCAGAAAAAAATTAATGGCTAAATAAATGTTCGAATTGGAGTCCTTCTATTTCGAGACATTTTTGAACTAGGTTTTTCATATAATTTATTGCCCTTAATACACTTATTTGCTGCATTGTTACGAAATCATTCAAAATCCCCAATCTCGAGTCTTCAACATTTTCTATCTATCTGCCGGCATAAATCCTATTCTTCAATGTCCCCCATAGAAAATAGTCCAAAATAGTAAGATCTAGTGATCTTGCAGGCCATCTCATTGGCTCAGTATTTGTCTCTAAATGGAAGGACTCCAATTCGAAAATTTATTGTGCCATTAATTTTTTTTGTGTAAATTAATTACTTCATTTCAATTTTCATTACAATTATAGTGTTGGTTTTGGATGTTATTATTACTATCATTTCTTTTTCTGCTGATCAAAACACATATAATATATTTTTGATGTAGATATGTTTCAGATAATCATGAAAGGTTTTATTATTCGAAGTTCATTGTAGAAAAGGCTCAGAGCAATGAAAAAAATATGAATAGGTAGGTACCTAAAAATAAAAAAAACTTTCTAAAAATTATACGGTACATAGAATACGTTGAAGTTGCTAGTGTGTTTTTATTCAACTCAGTCAACCAATTTCCAGGGCCGTAATTTAAAAGGGAATAATTGATACAACTATAATCAAATATTACCGAAACATGCCGAAATATACATAAAAAAATAATTTCTCAGTATGAAATGAACTTCTACGATACAAAAACTACAACAAAAAATACAGGTCAGTATTTAAAAATTCAAAGATGGGAGTGGCCCAAGTCAGATGACACCCTGTATAAAAGATTTATGGACATATTCTGATAGCCCACATCAAGTGCCAATCTCAAAATGTGAACAGATTTTCAATATGTCTGCGAATGAAGAAGATATAGGCAAAAAATGATTTGGGATTTTTTGGTTTTTCCTGTATATCTCCAGAACCAAAAGAGTTATATTCAATATTTTTACATCATTGAATAGGTCTCTCAAATACACAACTTTACCACAATTCAACCGACAATCTATCTCTTATCATTTACGAGATCCCCATGTACAGAAACGAATTTGAATAGCCCTGTATTTGATGTTAAAAACTGCTCATCATGAAGCATCTGATTATGTGAAATAATATTGGGTGATTCATTTAAAAAAATTGGTGGGATAGAAGAAGTTAAATGAAATGTGAATATGGTTGACGTGTTTTTTTATTTTTTCTGCAAATCATCATACCAAAAGTTGATCAGAGTGGCCCGTTTCGAATAGAATGCACTGTACGATTCCAATAATTTTCCAAACCCATATGAACCCAAAAATATCAAGTTCAAGTAGACTTCAAATTGTAGTAGTATATTTTTCAGTATCACTCTATTCTCTATTTATTCTACCTGCTTTCCCTTTCAAATATATTTTTCCAAGTATTCTCATGGCATCAGATAAATACACAATCTAGCCTGGGGGATTTGCCATTTTAGAATATCTTATCTTACTGTATATGGCGTGCCTCTCCACATATGAATGAACTTTTTACTGTTACACTTTGAAACCACTTTGTTACATTATATTCACATATGAATATTACCACGGTAAAATGAGAGGTAGCTAAGAACTCCAAGTTCGCAACGAAACCATTAAGTTACTTGTCGAATATTCTCATCTCGTGGTTTGAGCACTGAGAAGTTTCTATAGAGCGTATTACGTAACGGTGAAAATATATTGAACAGCAGAGAAGTTTCTATCTTGCTGAATTCCCGAAGGGTATAAGAGTCAGTTAAAAATCCCTCAGGCTGCCATGTATTGATATAACGTATCGGATAACAACCATCTTATTTTCAGTAAGATCGTAGTTTCCAAAGGGTATTTTTTTCAAATAGACATTGGACATCTCAAATGTGAAATTGAGTTTCTGAAAGAAGTGGCAGACCAGAAAACAGTTCAAACAGTTCATGAGTATCAACATAGATGATAGAATATCACTCAATCACTCACTGAATTCATATAGAATCTAGATGAAGTTCAGTTCCGTCTCACTATATTTCCCATACATAGTAAAACACATATTCCTCAACGGAATAAACGAAATGGAAATTTGAGAAAATAATTGATACTCTCAAGCCAAATAAGGCCCCGGAAATCGATTGAATCAGGATAAAGAAAATTCAATAAAGACGTCGTGGATATCATTTTGAATCCTCTTTGTCATATAGAATATTCCAACAGGGACTTCTAAACTTTGACAAATGATAACGGCCATCTTGTTGGAGAAAATTTGTCGAATTAGTTGTTATTTATTCAGTCTGTTTTGCAAATCACTTTGGGCGGATATAGAATTCAACGAGACGTGCAAAGATCATTTTATCAAAATGGGTGTACTTCAAAAAGAGGCCTATTCGCAAAGTGGTTCAGTTAATTATCGATCTTGAGGTTGAAGAACCTCAAGATCTGCCAAAAACATTGCCACTATCTGTGAGAGCGTTCAGGAGAATCCAAAGCAGTCGTCCGTATGAAATTCAACTCACCCAGGAACTGAAGGTGAACGACCATAGATAACGACGGGTGTTCGCTGAATGGGATCTGATGCAGTTGGGAACTGACCCTAATTTTCACAATAGGTTGATGATCATCAACTTCTTCTGGCCTCAATTGGATAATCTAGACACCAACGACATGTGGGTTTGATAGGACGACGCTACGTGGCACACAGCTCAGGCTACATTGAATATTATGTACGAGTGATTTGGGAGCTTGATCATCTAACGAGGAGGTGATGTGAACTGGCCACAGAGATCATGTAATTTGACCCTTTAAGATTTTTCTTGTTGGGTCCTCAGCAGTTCTCGAAGCCAACATAATCCATGCTAACGGTCGAATTCAGCCTGACTTATACACCAGAGTCATGGAAAATTGGACGTTTCAGATGGGTTCCACCTAGAGAATCCGTGTGCGGGCATTTGAAAGATGTCATATTTCTCACATGACGGCATCAATAGGTCTTTCAGTCGAATGAAAATGTCGATGATATATCATACTTTGTTTTATTCAAATTTGAAAATAGAAAGAGCTCAACGAAAGATCCTAAATGAAGAGGTTGTTGAACAAAGGAACGTTAACAACTCCAATATCAGTAGTCATTGAATTTTTCAGCTGGGTTTTTATGAAAATTGTGCAGAATTAAATTTTTCCAAAGACATTTTTCGCGGAGAAATCAATGCTTTCTAGTTGTATACCTTCCTACAATCTTATGATAACAAAATACGGAAAAGGATATTTTTCGAAACGTTCACTATATATAGAAAGAAAGCTAAGTATTGAAATTTTTTCTTGATTGCCTTTTGTCTTGCAAGACATACAAATGCTCTGTACAGAGGCGTATCATTACTTGTCCTTCAATGGTATTGATGTTTGGCATTGTCTGGCATGCTCCATTTGCTACCCCAGTTGAAACTAATCACGTACGACAGTGGCCGGCATGTGTCGTAATCCAATAATAATTTTGTTGGGAGGGTCTGTACCTATGCGATCGCTCGCCATCAGCTGTGGCGTGTACTGTAATAAGCATTACGATCTTGCACGTCTAATTTGATCTATTCAAATGAGGACCTCAATTCCGCGGCTGATATTTTCTCCAGCAATTCAAAGTACTTCATAAAACAGTAATCATAAATAGCGTATCAACATTTTTTTCCACCACAATCTCAATACGTATTGTTCTAGAAATAATACTCCAAATATTTCTTCTTCAATTGAAGCTTCCAATTCTTTTTCATTACAGGTAGCAGTGGTGGAGAGAGCTATCTTGGTAGCCAGGACAACGGTCATCGGCGCATGTCAGACTTCCAGAAGTCCCCCTTTCCCACGAATTTGAACAGAAACAGAGTAAATAGGATTTCGAACAGTTATTTGAACCTGACGAGGGAGGACAGTCTTTCCAGTCCAAGAGAGGTTAGTCGATGTTTTTTAAACTGTGCGTATGATTTTGACTATCAAAAATGATCGCAAGATTGAATAAAAGAGTTGTCTTCGATTTTTCTGGTGAAACAAGGAGTTAGTAGTCTCCAAGTTTACTACGATAGTGAGATGTTCATCAATATATGTCTATGATTTTATGGCAACGATTTGACAAACTCAATAATTCCATAAATCACACCTTACGATTTGACTTCCCCAAACAAATATATCACGACATGTTTCGCTAACACAGTAGCTTCTTCAATAGTGATTTGAATACTATAAGTTTCCCCCATGCTTCCTCCCGGGTTGAGTGCCCTGAGTTGAAATCTTCCCCACACGGTTAATGTGTGCAGAATATCCTATCTCGTCCATCCACCATCGCTCCTCCGCAGCGGTCCTCGAATTACTGATGGGCACTTCAGCAAGATTGACATCTGACATTCTTTGGTCGAAAGTCAGTCTCTAGGTGCTTTCACTTTCTGATCTGTTGAATTGTTTTATCATGACTTCCCTAACCGAATTATTGCATGGGGTCCCCAAAAACTAACCGGAGACGAGTGTCTTCTTAATAGGCCTTTTCATCATAAGACGAGCGCAATTGAAATGGCGTTGATTCAAAACTGTTTCAATCAACAATGGCTGGGCAAGGAATATTATCTCTACAAACACTTGTTCATCTTTCAATCGATAATTTCAATAAAGAACTCAATATCATCAAGCAAATTGCAATAAACAATGGCTTCAACGTATTTTGGACAAACAACGAAAAAAGTGGCTTCATTTTTGAGGAAACAAAATATCAAAATTGCATATAGAAAAACTAATACGTTGGGAAAGTTAGTTGAAAATAATGAAGACAAAACATCCAAATTCGAGAAATTCTAAGGTATATATTGGTCAAACTGGCAGAAAATTCAGGAATCGAATCCAGGAACATGATATGTAAATAAGAAAACAAGTTGAACATATTCAAATCATCTTTCAGAAAAAAAACAGAAAAGTTCAAAATTGGACAAGTAGAAAATAAAGATTTGAAACTGAATTATTTGAAGGCAATGGAAATTAATAAACTTAAAACTTTAAACATTCTAATGGATGACCAACTGGATTCGAATAGATCATCATTATGAAACTTGTGTTTTCAAAAAACCGAGGAAGTATTATTATTTTGATGGAGATAGACCAATTGTAGTAACCTGTGGTATATAAATATTAGCGTAAGAAGCAACTTGTAGTACTCAAATCACTGTTGAAGAAGCTACTGTGTTAGCGGAACATGTCGTGATATATTTCTCAAATAAAGTTTGTAGTTTATGAAAATACCATAGATCTTTCTCAAGTAACGGCCGAATCAATAAAAAAACTCATTAATATTCGCGGTGCTTGAAAACGTTGATATCATATATACTCCGTTAATACATGCATTATGAGAATTCAAGTATACTAACAGACATACCTACTGGTATGTCTGTTAGTATACTTGAAAACCTGAAACCCTGGCAATGAAATATAAATCAATAACGTTGCCTAAGGAATTCCTAGTTTTATATGAATTCAACCAGATGATTTCGAGTGAATATTTGAATGATATATTTTTTCATTCCATAATGTGCTTCATGAAGTACACTTCATGCAACTATTAAATTCATGTTTTGTAACTATTACATTTCTATATTTTCCTATGTGATGATAATTTTCAATCTGAAATTCCATCATACCGACACTTGGAGTATAGACTGAAATTCCTTGAAATTATCTCCTTCGTCAGGAGTATCGGTTTACGAATAATTCAAAAACAAACAGGTGAATATGATGTCGAACAGTTAACTATCTCAGCGTAACGAGAGGCCAGAGTCATTTTCCCCCGTTCGGTTCCAAAGATATCGAATTACACAAGAGGCAGGCATGATCATATCCCATGCAAATTTCCCGAAAATATCTTGTAATGAATTGAGAGTTGTATGATGAGCTGAACGTTAGCTGACGTCTGTTGTATATAGTAGACTTCTTTCTTTCTCTTTTTGTATAGCCGTTGCTTCTCTTTAGGACGCATTTGGCCAATTTTCTCCTGTCGACAGAAGTTCGCATGGGGGTGGAGCAGTCTGCTCGACGCAATACTGCATCCACTAGTTTTTTCTAAGATTTTTTACAAAAAAAATATTTTGAAGATCGCCTTCTCTCCGGGAGGCTATTTGGTTTTCCTAACCCAGTAATCGAATAGTTTGTTTATAGGAAATAATTTTTTCCCAAAAAAGAGTGATATGTTGATATTAATAATTTTTGATTTAAAAACAAATAATCCTACTGTGTTGAGGCTTCAATAGCCCCAATTTTCAACCTCATAGAGAAATGAATTTCACTAGTTCGGACTTCCATTGTTTGATAATATGTAAGCATGGGAATACTGAACTAGACGCCTTCCTGAAACACATCAACAGCGTGAGACCTTCCATCACTTCCACAATGGAGAAGGAAATCCACAACGAATTACGATTCTTAGACGTTTTAGTGAAGAGGACCGACACTAAGTGGGAAACATCTGTAAACCGAAAAGTCACTCACACGGAACAGTATCTGAACCACGAATCCAACCACCATCAATCGACTAAAAGAGGAATAATCAAGACTCTATCAGACCGTGCTTTCGGGCTCTGTAATACAAAGGAAGGTTTCGAGAAGGAACTAGACGTCATCAAACATGATCTTCAACGTGATGACTACTCCAAAGCGATGGTAGAAAAGCCTTTGGCTAAAAGACAGCAGGAGCCTCGCAAGGAAGAGAAGCCGTCACCACCAGTGCTTGCACTTCCCTACATCAGAGGATTCTCGGAGTGGACAAGAAGAATTGGTTCCAAGTACAACATCAGAACATGCTTCAGATCCGGTAACACTTTCCGTAGCAGCCTCATGAAAACCAGGCCACCAAACACGGACTTTGATTTCAAGAATTGCATTTACCGGATACCCTGTGAGTGCGGAAAATCCTATATTGGTGAAACTAAGAGGCCATTGAATGTTCGCATTGCCGAGCACAAAAAACACACACAGCGAGGAGAAATCAGCAAATCAGGAATAGCAGACCATGTTTGGACCCATCAACACAACATCGAGTGGTCCCAAGCTGAGGTCATACACAGAGAGGAAAATTCAAGGAAGCCGCATACATGTTGTCCAAAAACGTATTCAGCCAAGCTAGCGTAGAGATACGCAACATATGGACACCCATCATCAAGCGAAAAATGGCCAACTTCCGCCAAACGGCCATCTCCCACTGAACCAGTGAAGCGGAAAAAATGGAAAGCGGGGATAAGTGAAAGTACTCGAACAACCCATAAATAGTCATCTCTCGGAGGAATCAGTCCAGTCATCATACGAAGACGATTGTAGATACTAACAATCGAAACGTCATAAACAAACGTGGCTTGGAATCTCTTAACTTTTTATTTTCATTTTTTTTTGTTCAATTGTTCTATTTTTTTTTGTATTTTACTTCACTATTAAAGGGCTTTCCAATAGGTACTTGACAACTTTGAATTTAAATCGTGAACGCACTATTTCACTAATCATCTAATTGTTGCTTTCTTTTGTTTCAGTAAACTTAACATTTTCATTATGGTAAAGTACACGAACGAACAACGTTTGGAAATTATAAAAATGTACTACCGAAATTCGGAGTCGGTGACCGCAACTTTAAGAGCGTTAACTCCAATTTTCGGTCGTAATTCTCGCCCCAGTAGACAAGAAATAACAAGTTTAGTGCAAAATTTGAGTCTACATATTCATTGTGTGATGCTGTCGTGCCAGTGAGACAACGGGCTGGTCGAAGTTCCGAAAATATCGCTACCGTTAAGGCGTCCGTAGCAAATGATCCAAATCAGTCGATTCCGCGGCGTTCTCAAGAACTGGGCATCGCCAAGACCATATTGGACGCGAAATAGCGGCCGTTCCGGCCGAAATGTGTGACCGAGTCATTCAAAATTGGGTCCAACGAATCGACCGCTGCCGACGTGCCCGCGGTGGCCATATGAACGAAGTCGAGTTCCATTCATAAATGTTTTGAATGTATTTCAAGTCGGTAATAAAGTTTTGGAAATATCTCAAATGGTTTGCGTTTTATTTACAAAAAAAGTTGTCAAGTCCTCATTGGAAAACCCGATATTTCATTTCAGGTTTTTTTGCTTAATATAATTGTTATTTTCAGCCATTCATTTTTAATCCTTCTTTTTTTTTTAGTTTTAACCGTTCATTCTGCCCTGTTCATCATATGAAAATTCTTGTAACTCTTCAATTCACTCACATACATTTGAATAAACTTTTCTGTCGTTACCGAATATTAACGCCAACATCAAATATTGTCATTTTTGTTAATTGGTATCCCAGAAATTGTTAACGTTATTTCTCCTGAAAATAAGTGAATAAAAAGTAACGCATTTCGCCCGATGTTGCTGGAGAAACTGTAGAATGAAACAGAGTTATCAAGTTACATGTGTGAATGGTTTGTTAGCGAAGGGTTGACGTAGGTGTAAGTGCTCTGGTAAATTAACGCACACATGCGGAGAGCACTTGTGAGGGTCGGAAATGTAAAAGCGCTAGAGATGGTCTACTCTTTTGAATGGGGTGTGGATTGATACGAGTAGCATTGTTGTAGTGGGAGAAATCGTTTTATAAAACTACCCGTTTATGAGATCACTTGATTTTCTCTGTTCTACTTGATTTAAACTGTTAATGAGCCAGAAGAATTCATAATAACTAGAAAATTAATTGAATCAAATTACGATTTCAAACAGTTTCAAAATGAACACTATAAAAAGATGTAAAGATCCTGCATAGAAGTTACTTCCAGACATAAAGTGAAAGAAAAAAGCCCTCATGAAACAACTTTTCTCATATGAACATTAAATGTTGTGTCACTGAAACTTGGTTCAAATCAATGTTTAATTCATAGAAGTAACAATTGGTCAATACATTGACTTAATTCTCAGTATTAATTTTCAATTCGAAATCAGTATTATTCATTTTGAGTGTCCCAAACCACGGTAGTAAAGTAATCCACTGTTTCCACACTAGAATCCTCAATTTCGGAAATTACTTTTTGACAGCGTCTAGTCAGGCGAATTTTGAAACAGCTCAATATCAACAAGACGTCTTGTCCTGATGAAGTGCCCGTCATCCTATTCAAATAGTGCGCCAATAAAGTCGCACCAGTATTTTGCAGATTGTTCAACCTATCTTACAAGGAAGGGGTTTTTCTTTCTCGTTGGAAGATAAAAAAACTCCTCCAACTAACTATAGACCAGGTTTTGCTATTAGTGATTCAAAACCCCTTTGACCGTGTATTGCATGCGGGTTTACTGACACCAATGGACACCAATATGTCTTAGCACAATCATACCACTGAAATTGCAAAGACTGCTTCTCAAAAAGCATTGTTTCTAACCAGAAAACTGTACAAACCCCAGCATCTCTTGATACTCAGCTCAGATCAAACTTTCTTTGGATAATAATAATAATAATAACTCTTTATTCTCCTGAAGAACAATACAAGTATTGTATAGGAGTAGTCGTTTATCTAAAATTGATAGAACATGATAACATTCAGTTGAATTGTATATAACAAAACAGTAAATTTGCAGGTATTATAGTCGTTCATCTATAGTATACAATAATTGTGTAACATATATATACATATACAGACATATATACAAATATACATTTATACGCATTCACCCAAATACACAAATAACAGACATATCATAAATAATTTGCAAATACTTATTATAGTGCCTGATCGACTTTATAATAGCATCTTTCAATTAAAAAATGTTGACGACATTTTTTAAAATGTAAAGGTTCGACTCTCTCTTACATAGTCTGGTAATTTATTGAATAATGAAGGACCTAGTGAGTTTGGAGAGTTTTTAGATAATTGGACCCTAGAAAAGGGTATATTCAGCTGATTTTTTAATCTTGTGTTATGTTTATGAATGCTAGATCTGGTTGAAAAACTGTTATAGTTACTAAATATATACACACAAACTTCAAAGATAAAGAGTGATGATAGCGTCATGATTTCACATGATTTGAATACATCAACACAGCTTTGTCGAGAGGATAGACTAAACATTACTCGGAGTATTCTCTTTTGTGCTACAAATACATCATTAGCTCTCGAAGACCTTTCCCAGAGAGAGATGGCATATCGAAGTCTGGAGTCCACTTGGGCATAGTAGAGCATCAGCAACTGATCATTAGACAGAACTGATCTCAAATTACGTAATTGATAGGAGATAGAATTCAATTTATTGATTAAGATTTTACAGTGTTCTTCCCAGGAAATATGTTCGTCTATATATAATCCAAGAAATCGGACGGTCTTATCAACTGACTGTAAGTCTCCGAAATCAACTACACTAGCTTCTTTTTGTCTATTGTGAAAGCGTATACATTTTGTTCTATTCGTATTTAGAAGAAGTGAGTTGGCTCTAAACCACTGAGCCATATCAAAGGATTTTTTTTTACATTTCTGACGTATACAATATTCATCCCTATCTGATACAATAACTGATGTATCATCAGCGTAAACAATGATTGAGCTATCACATATCTCCACAATATCATTGATATAAAGTATAAATAAGGTAGGTCCTAGGACCGAACCCTGAGGAACACCTACTTCAGAATAATAATTGCACGATGAGATATGGTTACCAATAGTGACACGATTGTTACGTTTACTCAAAAAACTTTTTATCCATTCATAAGTGACACCTCGGATAACGTATCGAGATAGTTTATTCAATAAGATTGTATGACTGATGCAATCGAACGCCTTGCTTAGGTCGCAAAATACCCCAATAGAGCACTCACCCACATCAATGCATTTAATGATTTTAAGAACACATGAGTGTATTGCAGTTGTGGTCGATTTATTTCGCACTAAACCAGTTGATCCGCAGTTATGATATTGAAATGCTTGAGATAAGATAACAATCTCAAATATTCAACAATCTCAAGAATCAAATATTTTGAAAAAGATGGAGGGTACCGTAATTGGTCGATAGTTACTTATTAGGGAGGAATCACCTTTTTTATACACAGGTGTAATTTTACCAGTTTTCAAAGCTTGCGGAAATGTTCCATTTGCAAATGATAAATTTATGAGATGGACTAGTGGTGTCATAATATGTTTAAGAACACGTTCAACGATCACGTGGGGTATTTCATCCGATCCAGAGGAAAATTTATTTTTCAGTTTTCTGTTGAGCATGACGAATAGTTCATGTTCATTAAACGGAAGGAGGAGAAAAGAACTAGACTGTATTTCAATATTATTCAAATGTTGATTAGCTATATCTTCATCAAGCGATTTAATTTGTGAAATTACTTTCAGTGGTTGTTCTTTGAAAAAATTGCTGAATATCTCAGAGATTTCCTCAGGAGACTCGAATATTTCATTTTCATATTTTATGGAGGAGATTGATTGCTTGCGCGATTTATTAGTTAATTCATTTACTACACTCTATTCTGCCTTATTAGAGTTATCTGAATTATTTATTTTATGCTGAAAGTAATGTTTTTTTGAGTTATGTACTGAGATTTCGTGCTTTTTCTTGTCTGCTTTGTAGAAACAGAGGATGTTGGCTTTCAAGCACAAACATGTCCATTAATCGTACGCTGGACCTCTTGATATCGTCAGTAACCCATTTGCAGTTGGGCTGCTTCGTACGGTGATGTTTATATTGTTTGACTTTAGGAAAAAGGTTTATCAAAATAGTACAGGAAAATTTCTAAAAAATATTGAAATGCACCTTCCATATTTTCCATGGTGAAAAGAAACTTCCAATTTCCACTACAGATATCAAATTCAAATGAAGTTATTGTATTCTCGGAAAAATTTCGCTTAAATGTGCTGATTGATCTTGGCTAGTCAACCGGAAGTCCGGGGTCGAAAAGGATGGACCGATGGTCAGAAAAATGATTATCGAAAACAGGGCATACCCCATTATCATAATTGTTGCTGAATATATGATCAATTGATGAGGCTCTACCTCCAGATGATATTCTGGCTGGCCACTCAACAAGTGACTTCATGTTGAAGCAGTTCATCATACTGGAAAGTTTATCAAAGAATCCTGAATTCACTGATGAATCCATATTGAAATCTCCTGCCACAATAAAGTTTACATTTGGTTATACTAAAATTCAAGAACATCATATAATTTTTCCAGAAAAACATCTGGAGTCCCCTTAGGGGAAGGGGTTCTGTAAATACACAATATTATTGTATGTCGCTGGTTCAGTATACAGATAATATTCAGATAGATCTAATTCAACAGTATTTATGTATGGAGCTCCGCCCCCAATCATACTTCGAATATGCCCATCCAGAAAAGAGCCACCCGCCTGATTGGAGACACGCACATCACTCGCAACATTGATAGTCTGGGAAGACATGTTGGAGATTTTTCTATCTTTCATAGATACTTTCACATAGCCTTATGTGGTGTACACGCCGACGACAGCCAGAAACCATTAAATTCACAAACTAAGCACAACGGAAATGAAGACTGCATTCGCCAATATCTGTACGACCATTTCTGAGAAGAAGTATCCTCTTTCTGACATAAAGCGCTTTTCAAAAAGGATGAGATTGGAAAGGTGTACATCATGGTGTCTAAGATTTTTGAAAGAATTGAGAAAAACTATACATTCTGAAGATATTTCAAATGAACTGACTATGAGAGAAATTAAAGGAGCCGAACTGGTGAGTTTTCTTGAAGAAATTCGAAGTTTAGAAAGTGAAAGGCAAAAAATAATATCAGAAGTTTTGATTTCTACTCCAAATTGTACTTGACGGAAAAAGTAACTTGGCGAATACTCTCAACCAAATAACTAGAAAACCAGTAATTTTAGATTCTAAACATGAATATACAAAATTACTCATCGAGCATCACCAGAAGATGAAAATTGATCCTGAACGAATAACGACAGTCATTTCGGGTGAAGCAGCGGTAAATCGGCTTCATCATATAGGAATGAGAACCAGTCTCACAACTAATGGGGCAACTACCAATAAAGGCTTTCACGTTAAAATTAGTCGGAGAAAATAAAATCATGATGGAGTCATCGTCATTCGTCTGTCAATAAGATCCATTCACCTGGAAATTTTTCACACCCTCAATACTGAAGTGGCTATCATGGATATATTGAAAAGGGCTGCCAAAGATGATCTTATGTGATAATGGAACGAATTTTGTTACTGCTGCAAAAGGACTCCAAAATGCTCTTCAAGATATAACATTTCATCTTTTGTGGATGCAATGTCGTCTGGATGATCAGTCAATATATTGGGATATTGTTTCATATTCGGGAATATTCTCAGATGTAACCTAACTCTTGAAAGATTGAATGAATGATGAAGTCTTAATGATTTGCACTACAAATGAACTACTTCTTATTTCCAGATCCCCACCGAGCTGAACGCCACCCCACTCTTAGACGTCACTGGTCTCGAGAGCCGCATTTTGTTCAACAAAAGAGAGATGACGTCATCTCCGGCGACAAGCACCGCTTCGAATACGACTTCCTACGACTATCACGCCGCTCAGCTGGAGAGATTTCTCGAGGAATACAGAACGCTGCAGAAACAATTAACAAAAATGAAGGAGACGTGCGACAATTTGTGCCAGGAGAAGGTAATCGATTGCCAATGCAAATTCATCTAATATTGTAAATCGGTTTTAGCAACCAAGTTGGCGTTTTTGGGAGATGAAGTTACTTTAAAACTGATCTTTATTTATATCTAACAGGGTACACTTTCTATTTGGAAACAGACAAACACAATCGGGTTGTGATAGTGGACAATTCATATTATTATAGGAGAATTGATAATTGAATTGAAAACGGACCCTTCAATAAATTACCAGTGAATCTTTCGGCTGAGATGGTTTGACACATTCGAAGAGTGTCTAACCGGCTTTGAACAGGAGTCTACAGGTTTCTGATCCTACAGTTCCTGAAATATAATCTTTTAAATCTTGACAAGTCTGGCAAGTAAGTGCGACCAATTGTCTTTGTCATATGTTCTTCTACTTATAGCAATTGCTAAATGGTTAATTAATCAGTTTGAAACCCTCTCAATCTCACAATGTACCACTATTGTTGTTATTTCACATTATTTCATGAAGAAATTTGAGAATGTAGAGTTGTGAGGGTCAATGGTCTCAGTGAAGAAGTAATCCAACAAATAACAAAAATCTGCATGGAAGAGAATTGGTTTCTATTCAACAACAGTTTCTACAGAGAGCTCAGAGGCATGGCAATGGGAAACCCACTGTCCCTTTCATAACTAATATGTTCATGAGCGAATTCAAATCGTAAGCAAAAGAGTTGAATAACTTTCCATGGACTTGGATGCGATATGAGGATGATTTACTGACGATTTTTGACACAAAGAAATCTAAGGTAGAGGACTCCGTTCTAACTTTCAACAAGAAATAAGTTCACATATGTAATTGGAAACAACGTTGTCTTGGATGTCTTAGTGATCAGAACTGACCAGTGGGTAGAACTTGAAAAACAACCAATTCTTCTAGAAACATTTCTAATCGCTGGCACCAGTGTCCACAATACAATATTGGGAACATTTTTACCAAGAACATCCAATTACATAATCGGTAACCAATACAATGTTTCAGTCACATAGTCAGTTTTGGGTAATTCCAAAAATGAGTTCCCAAATGATCCAATAATTAGCTTTTATGGTACAGGTGCTGAAGCATATTTTGTGAAATCTGTTAATAGTGAATTCAAGAAGGCAAAAAGGAGTTAAACGATCTGTAATGAGAAATATATCGACATGTGAAGATATCAAAAATTTGTAGAAGAGAGTGGATTGACACTCAAAAAGATGAACTCATTCAGAAGCGTTCTGCATGATATATACACTGTATAGAGAAACGAAGTTGCATTATCCTACCACGAATATAGATGATTCATCATGACGAACACCACTCACACTCCTCCATGGGGTCAAAATGATATAAAGCTCTATCAAAACGATCAGAATGATACTATTCGTTGGGTATCCGATGTTATTCAGTCATTTTCTTCGAAGATTTCTCTGGACCAACTGAGATGCTGAGATGAACAACTGAACTATCATTCAATGTATTTGAAACTGAAATATTCAAAGGAACTCTTTAGACATTGTAAATGAGTCACTTCAACAAAAGTAGGGTTACCCCAAAGATAAGAAGTTGAAAATGAGGAGTCGATATTATAAGAAACGAACTGTGACAAAAAAAATATTGACGAGCCATTAAAACTCGTTTCAAAGAACACACAGTACATATCCGATATGGGCGACCGAAAAAATTCAGTAACGCTCAACACCACTTGGAAAACAGCCATAGAATAAAGGAAAACTATCTGAAATTGTTGAGATCGGTACATGACACAAATAATGATTTTGAACATCTGGAGTGTGACATGAGAACTATAAACAGTGACAAAGGTCCCACTATGAACAGCACATTGCTTGTTTTTTCATAAATCACTTCATTGATACTAGCCGGAACTTCCAGGAGCAGCACAAAATCATTTTTGTGTGTCGGAAAGTTGAAGTTGAAGTGTATTCTGTTAGATATAAATGAAGACCGATTTGGGACGACAACTTGATTGTTGAAAGGCGCGTCAAGAAGAGTAATGCATTTTCAAGAAGTACCAAATGGTCTTCTGAAAATTCAGTAAGAACTTGTTGTCTGTGACATTGAAAAATTCTTATCCTTAATCCAAATGAAGCGAAGTTTTGTGAACCTAATAGGGCCACACTTGGCTTCATGTTAACCTTGCCGAAAACGATTTTTCTCGATTGGAAAACTTGACCAGATTGTCTCTGATGTGGATTCAAGCAAGCAGGCTGCTGACTCCCTTGCAAAGGAGGGTGCTGCAAGCAGCTTCATCGAACCACAACCTGTCATTGGCATCGTTTCAGGCTTCTCTAAACAAATATTGAACACCTGGATGGCAAGAAGATTTATGGACTCCTGGCAGAATCTTCCAGGATTGGCTCACTCCAAGGCGTTTATACACCCTTCGAAGCTTGATACCAAACAGTTGTTGGACTTCAGTAGGGATGTACAACGGCAGAGCCGTACTCTTACCATCTGACCTGAAAGACCACTCACCATACAAACTTATCGGCTTCGTTAAAAAGCTAGGTTTATTTGGTCGAGTGTGAATAGGTGTCAGCCACAATAAACTCTAGTGGATTGCGGTAGGTAGTCGAATAGGCCCACTTACTTTGGACCTAACCCAACCTAACCTTTCATCTATCAAAAGTAAATATTAAATTTCGATATTCTTTTTCAGGAGAAGGAACAGAAGCCAATCATCTCCCCAACAACTCCCTCTTCGTCATCTTTAAACAACTCAGCAAACTTAGCAGTATCTCCGAATTCAACACAGTCCTTAGAAGACTCAGTTGACTTTAGAAATTTTGAAAGTGAACTAACTAAATATCTCATTTCTAAAAAATTGTCTCCAAATACATTCGACTCCACGTAACTAAAATAGACTTGATTATCAGTGGAATATAGTATGTCAGGATTTGGGAAATCTTGAGAATGTCACACTAGAGAAACATGTCTCGCTTGAAACCACATGGAAAACTGTTCTGCCGTACAATTTGAAAAAAATATTCTACATAAAAAATCTGCAAAGAATGGAAACTGAAATGCCAACATCGAATAACATATTATCTGTGAAATGTGAAATTTTGCTCGATACTATGGAAATTTGTTGTCAGAATAAGTTCGTTTGAATTGAAAATCTCGCTCAAGAATGCAATTTCTATTATTTCACGCTAACTCACGGAAGGCTAACAGGTCACCAGAATTTCAATGAATTCTCCTCATTTCTCTAAACTCATCCTTATAATAACATCGAAAATTCACCTGTAGTTATGTTTGTGAGGAAGAAACAAAAATCATATTATGTTTTCAATAATTGAGAGACAAAATCATCATTGAAATCAACAAAAAAAATTGATTCATCAGTAGAAAATAACAAAAACTGCATTTTATTGTGAATCAATTATTTCAATAATAATTTTCGGTATTATCAAAAATAATGTTATTTCACTCTTGAGCAAAGTTCATTTTGGTCGACAGACTTGGATACTACTGAAAGAATTTGATTACCTATGGATGCATTTGAGATTTTGATTTTCACAGAACAGAAATTTTCATATGGTTTCCACTTACTGAGACTTACTGTATCTATATTATGTCCAAATTCTCTCTATTCAATATCAAATGTATTTCAATGTGAAAAGAAACAGTTTTTGTGAAATCTGTGTTAGGAAATTATTAATGATTTTTGTACAAAATATCGTGTATATAACTTTAATAAGGACACTACAATTCCAATACTCGTTGTAAATAACACATATATAGCAACCTATATGATTGTTACATTATTCCTATTCGTTGAATGTTATAGAGTAGCGAAATAACTTTGTGATATTATTTAGGTTAGGCAATATTTCAAGAATATGGTCATTGTTTGATTCTATGAGATTGTACACATATCCTTTTGAATTTGTGAATAAAAGTATCTAAACCAGCCATGCGTTTTGCTTCTCTAAGTTAATGGATGGTAAAATTTGATTTCCTTTGTTGAAAAATACTAGTTTATATTAGGTTCATTTCATTAATTCAGACTTCCATTGTCTAATTTGATATAAATTAAAATAGGTTGTTTCGAAAGTTCTGCCCGTTTCTATGAATCTCCTTTGAACTTCAATAGCACCGTGGATACTCTTTCCATTCAATTGAAATGCGCCCCATTTGAATCAGTGTATTTTTGCCAACGAGACACAAGTCGGGTAATTCCGTTAGCATAAAAATGTTGTGCTATGGATTCGATGAAGTCGACGAAGGCCGTATTTGCCTGATCCTTTTTGTAAAAATGTATACACCCAAAGGTTTGTTACTTACTTTGGACCGAAACCTGTCAATCAAATTTCCATTGAACTGAGAAATATAACGCAAGAAAACAATTACATCCATAGTTGATCACAACTTTGATTTCTCAAAAAGAGTATTTGAATCAGCTCACTGAATTTTGCCTGAAAAATTTCTTATCTCACTCAGACCTGTCTCCCTTTCGGCTGATTGTCTGGTCCGATCCTCCTGCGGGTTGATCATTGCTTTGTATTAATTTCTTTCAATTATAAATATGTATTTCTCACTGAAAAAAATTAATAGTTTTTTTCTCACTTGCATACATGGTTGTGTCCAAATCTGGAATAATACGCAACACAAGCTTTGCTTGGGCGTTTTCCAAGAACTGAACACCACCACTTTTTTTTTCATTAATGGATTTTTTAATTTATTGTAATTATTATTAAAGAGATGCTAACATCTATTACAGACAAGGATATGTATCTGAACTGAATAAATTGATTGATTGATTGATTGAAGGTTCTACTGACCAGAAGGTTGATATCGAAGTGTTAATTGAAGTCGGTTGGCGAGAGGTCTGAGTATGGTGAATGAGGCAGAACTTTGAAGCTCGATTCGTTTAATTTTCAGGCGGTGATTTGTGAAACGTGCTGACGGGCGTTGTAGTGGAGCAGGATCTGACCTTTTCTGTTGACCAGTGCCTAGTGCTGCTGTTTACACAATTTTCAGTACATTTCGTCGATGTCCTCAAGATAGGACTCTCATGTGACCACCATAGAGTAACCATGGTATTTTTTGGTGAGTTTTCAACTTTGAGAAGTGCATCGGTGACCTTTTGACCGTTCCTATACGTTTCAAACCATCTAAAACCACATGGGAGCTGATGCCTACTTCTCTTGCCATCCCACACAACATTTATGATGGGTCAGTCTTCACCAAGGGCCTCAAATCCTCGTCTTTGATTACTGTAGGTCGACTACTCTGGGTCTCATCTTGTAGACAGAAATCTTCGAAATGGAATTTCGCAAACCAACATGGAACAGTATACACCAAGACAAAGTAGAACAGATATTCATTGAGATATGTAGCTGCAGAAACACATACCATCAAAACGGACAAAGCCTTCGAAACAATATAATAACAGTTATTTTTTATAATCCCTCTGAACAAAATATTTTTCTGCATTATTTATATCAATGAAGTTTGAGCCAATGAAAATGAAAGAAGGCTGATTTGATATATTCCATTCAATAACTAAAAAAACAATACATAAGTGAAAGTTGAAGTTTCGTTGGTTTAACATTGAAAAACAAAACATAAATCTGCAGAGCAAGGACGGCTGGAGACAGTACTGAACTCCTTGAGGTCATAAAAACATTCCTCTGGTAGAAGTGATTCTGATGTGGCTTTGAGTATTCCTATGGATGCCTCAGATTTCATACTAGACGGCGAAATATTATGAAGTGGAATGCAGGCACGCCCTGGTTACTTCCGATACTCATGATGGTTTTCTGCGTATAGATATTTTAATTACATCTAGTTGGATTGGAATGGATGTTGCTGTGCTCGATATATTGGATCTCAGTTTGTCATATAGAATTTTTCAATTAAAATAGACACTTCCTCTACTTAAAAACAGGGTGTTCTGAATAAGTGTAAAACATGCAAGGCGGTGATTCCTCATCAAAAAAAAGATAGGATTTTTCATATAAAAAAACCTCACTGGAGCATCCCTTGTTAAGATACAGCCCCTTAAAGGGGGTACATGAAATTTGTATAACATTTTTTTTCACAAGCACTGAAAAAGTTACAATATTGAAATTAACCTGACGTTTTGTACTACCAAAATGTCACTCAGCCAGTAATTTATTTGGTTTACCCCATGGTTGTAAGGGGTGGATAGCGCAACCCCTAAAATTCATTTCCAATGTAACTTTTTGTCTCATCATTTGTTTACCATTTAAACATTTATTTCTGATAGCATGTCATTCTGAACAAAAAATGTTTCTTGTGTTTTTTCCCAAAATAAACCAGTTCGCAGCAAAACAATTATTTTACGAACAAATACAGAGATACATCGTCATAAATGCGAAAATATGAAACTAATCTATCTAGTAGGTCGCTATTAGCGATAGTGACAATTGAATTGGTATGACGCTGTCAGTTTGTGAGTTTTCGAAATTGAATTAATACCAATTGTGTGTTGTTGTTCTGTTCTTAATTTGTTACTTAAATAATTCACTTGTTATTAAAATGGCATACACGTCGTGTATTCCTGATTTCGAATAGTGTTTTGATTTCAATTAAGTATCGGGTCATTTCAATCGTAATAGCATGCGGATGAGATTCATTCTGTTGTAGGCATTGCGTTCTGCAATTTTTGTCTATTGTAACAATTTTCTAACAATAATTAAATGTTAGGTATGAGAGTGCTATCATAAAATGGTATTATCCCCCCATACCCCCTCCCGGGTTGAGTGCCCTGAGATGAAATCTTCCCCACACGGTTACTGTATGCAGACCATCCCATCTCGTCCATCCACCCCAGCTTCTCCGAGGCGGTCCTCAACTTACTTCAGCAAGATTGACATTTGACCTACTGCTGTCTAATCTGATATTTTATTGAATCGTGACCTTACTTAAATGTAATTATTGCAGGGGACCCCCAAAAACTAACCGGAGACGAGTGTCTTCAGATCTCGAACAAGTGTTTATCAGTGAATCTGCAAAAGAAGTGGGTTTCAAATCTGGTTGAAAAGTTTTTATACTTACCGGAGCCACCTGATAGCGACTCTCGGAAATGGTCTCCGAATCTGCTTGGTAGTAGGCCTTTTGTGTTTATCTCTTTGTCGGAATCTGCGGTCTTCCCTATTCAATGCTTCGTGTAAAATGGTATTATGTGTTTCTTGAGTCCTTCTAAATGATTTTTGGTAGAGGTAGTGGAAATTGGGACAGCAATGAAAGTCAAACCAAAATTGCTGACGTCTTTTTAAAATCTAAACTACTTGATTAGGGTTGAATATATAGAAAAAATGTATACCTTAAACACTCGAATAATCGGTTTGATGTGCTCTTGGAGTTTTCATTTGCTCTATATGTTTGACCGAAGTTATGTATTTTCATGAAAAGAGAAATGTTTTTTACCACTTTTCATTATAACATTCTCAAACTAATACAATAAACTGTTTATTCGTCCATATAGGACGAAACTGCAGTAAGGTTAGTTGCACTTGAAAGTGGTAAAAAGCGTAGAAATTTTTATTTCTCTTTTCATTATGATCTCCTACCACGTAGTAATGGCTACATCCATCAATTTATTATATATTTTCAATAATAACATAGTTGTCACTGGTAGATTATCAATTCGTATGAGCATGTCACAAATCTGGGTAAAGCGCTATCCAGATTACAGTTTAACAGTTTCTTTATGAAAGTTGGAATAGCGTTGTCGTAAATCTCTCCATGCATGAAAAATGTTCTTTCGATTCTGACTTTCAAAACAATAAAACTGAAAAGTTATCAACTTGATATCCGTCAGATAGAAACGCAATCGTAAGCAGTAACGTCTAGAGGAAATGTGAAATTCCAAATTGGAATCGGAACTTTCCATGCAAAAGAAAAGTTTCGCTTCCTAATAAGAAATTTATATACAAACATGTTTCTATTTCTCGAAAGAAGATTGGAAATATTTTTCACAGTATAACTGACTGCGTAACATATGGCGGATTTATTCATTTTCTGAGGCTACTTCACGAAGGGGATTCTTTCCTCCCAGCTAAATAAACTTAGGAAAATTCATATAAATTCAAATTCTCTTGACTTGCATGCGTTATTCAAATCACAAGAAACTGAATATGTCTCCAAAGTTCAAATTGGGTTTTGGAATCAGGGAGTATGCTGCAGTACATAAACTAACTGAATCAAGAAACTTCCAAATGAATTAAATTTTCTGAAAATATGAGACGAATTGTACAGTATGAAAATCATCTGTGTGTATTCATCTCATACATACGAAAGTAATTAATAATTCGTGTGTTGACCATTTGTGATGGTCCAAACAAAACTGGCTGGTATCTCAATCGCCACTGATATCAGACAAACCCTATTGGCCTTGAACATACAACGTGTTACCTCAGGGCTAGTACTAGAGTGCCACCAAGATTTAGCTAAAGCCTCGGTAGATAATCACGTTATCCTGAGGTGAGTTGAGGGTCACGACAGGAGTGAAGCTAATCGCATTGCCGTCTCTTTATCCAAAGAAGCGGCTAGACTAAGGATTTTAGGACCCAGTGGTACCTACGGCCTGATGACTTTGACAATTGCGGAAATAGCTAAATGTTATACCCATGCTCAATCCCTAAAGAGATGGGATGAAATCAAAGTATGCAATCTTGTCAGAATCACTCTGAGCGACCCTGAGAAGCTGGCGCTGAAGGAAAATCTGGCCATGACCAGAAAAAATCTACGCTCAACAGTAGAATTTTTGACTGGCCACTGTCAAGTAAGGAAACACGTCCACAATATGGGGATAGTGCCCACAACTCTATACAAGAGGTGTGAACAGGACGATGAAACTGTCAGGCATGTCTTATGTGAGTCTCCGGAGTTATCATCAATAGGCGAGTCTTGACCTACATCTGCCGATATAAATGTATTTGTTGGTGAAATGATTGATTTCCTCCCAAAGATGAAGCAGCGCCCATAACTGCATAACACAGGAGGTCTTGTTTAGTTGAAATCGAGAGAGGATTTTGAATAAGCATGTAAGTTGCTTTTTCAACGAATGTTTGTTGATGTGTATCCATTGTTTCCCCAAAAAGTTCTTCCTCTTCTAATCCCATTTTTTCTCTTATGTATTTACTCAATTCTACATTTATATTCGTAACTTCCAAGATACTTCCATATTTTAATCCAGGCCGATTTTCATTATTTGCTAGACTTCCAGCGATACATTTCAATGAAGTAAATGTTTTGAACCCCTGAATGTGCATTTTTCTGCGTTTCCTTAAAAGTGTCTTTGTAACTTCCTGTAAATCATTGATTTTATTCGTTAGAGCTGATTTCCATTTTGCCAGTTCCTCGACCATCAAACTGGATGCCATAAATTTACTTTTCCATACCTCACACTGACCAGAAAACCATTCAGTCTGCTCTTGATAAGAAGTTAGATTGTGGGCCGAATTCAATAGGGCTCTAGCTGAAAACAACTTGTCTTCACCCACACAGCACTAGATATTCATGGAATATTCCCTGTATATCATAAAACGAACGTATATATTCCAAATATTCATAGAATATTCTTGGAATATATACATGCCTTTAGAATATTCATAGAATATGCTTGAATGAATATGGCAGGATTATTCCCGAAAGAATGTGCATAGAATGTCTATAAATGGATTATTCTCCCTTGAATATTCTAAGAATATTGTCGATCGAATATACCATATGGTATATTCTTAGAATATATCCCCACGGTATATTTTGGAATATTCTATACAATGGAATTTTGAATTATCTTATAATAACGTATTCAAATAATTCAATATTATTAAAAACAAAAATATTTGAAGATCTTAATCGAATGCATAACCTAATGTATATAACCCTGATAGTGTTAACCAGTTTTTGAACTCAACGCAAAGATTCTGGATGAATTGCTCCAACAGCAACTGTTGGAAACGACAAAAAAATTTGAATGGGCCAATAAATGAACCAATTGCATCAATAAATTGGTTCATTCTCATCCTATTTGTCTTTTTGTATTTGAAATTATTTAATTAATTGATCTCATGTATGCAGCTCCGCCCCCAAATATATCCTGAGGCTGCTGGATTCGCAAATATCACTTGCAACCTTGATAGTCTGATACATTGAAGAAACGTTGAAGTTATATAAATACTTTCTTGGAAAGTGTTCAAGTGGTTCATTTGATTCCACCAAGAGCGGTACATATCAGAAATACGCGACGCACTGTGGCTGCTCATCGTTTCAAGGTTCAACTCGTACACCTCAAATTTCACTGCTTGAGAACCCTTTCATTTGAAACACCGAATTTATATGGAATGAACTTCCTGAGAAAATTTTTCCAAATGGATTTGATTTTCAGCGATTCAAATCCAATGTGAATCACTACTTTTGCACAGGTATCGCTTTAAGAGCGCCTTGAGGATTTTACTGTAGTACTTGTGTTTCGCCCTAAAAAAAATCTCAGAGATAATAACCCCCCATTTCCCGGAATGGCAGAAATACGCCATTTTCCTCTCTCCTAATCATCTCGAAACATCCCCTTGTTGTGCGATTTTCAGTAAACACTTTCACATTTGTGGTTTTTGTTTGGTGATTAATGTTTATCATTTCTTCCACACGTTCTTCCATGCACCGCAAAAAACCCTCCAGTAGCACCAGATTCACGTGTGGCGAACGCGTGATTGTTCCCAAAGGACGCATCAGGAAAGAGTCCTGCCGCGCTACGAAATCCTGGTTCGCACGTGCTCATATCCTGCCCAATCCCGAATTAATTTTCCCGATAGAAGATGATAATTGAAACAAAACGGTCTGGCGAGCCTCAATGTGTATTATCTGTAATATTCTCTGTATCGCCTGGAATCGATAGCATGTGCAGCCCCATATGTTTATTTAAATTCCTGCAAGTTTGAATTGCACCCTATTCATTCGGGCCAGTCAGGTGCGACTTCAGCAGCGCTGCTGTTTTAGTGGGCAATAAGAGATGTTAATTAACGTTTATAGAGGATACTGTAGTCGGCGCTCGGGATTTTATCGATTGATTTTTTTTTGGTGGCCATTGCGGAAAAGCGAGAGATGTAAAATAGGGGGTAGTTTGTTGACTACATATTTAAACGAAGGAAAGAACTTTGTCAAAATTACTTTCATATACTCTTATTCCGATAAATAGCACTCAATTGAAATAGTATGAAAAACCATCGGTATTGTAGAAATTAGTCCTGGATTTGAATAATATAAATAATCCCTTTATCTGAGTCCTCAGGATTTTCATTGGCGTTTTTCTTCAAAGGACTGCTTCACTCCATTTTTCTCTTTACAGTTGCTGTAACCAGAAACCATGTCGCGTTGAGTAAAAGTCTCTATAGTTATGGAGATGAGAAACGGTATCACAATAGTTACTCAATATGATATGTAATGATATATCTAGAGATTCATTATTTTTGTTCAGAAAACAATCTATTTCTGGTTGCAGTTTCTTAGAGTGTAGGAGAGGATTAAAAATTGGTTGATTTTCATTTTAGGCCAAACTAAATGAATAGGATCGATACCTTCCAAAAAAGGGCAAAAAAATCTTACAAATGATTATAGACCAGTGACTTAGCACATTTGATTTCACCAAGAGCGGTGCATATCAGAAATATGCGACGGACTGTTGCTGCTCATCGTTTTGAGATTCAACTCAGTGCACCTCGAACTCCACTGTTTTAGGTTTATATTTTTATGTAAATCGGAAAGGAATTTTGGAAAGGGATGATAGTACCCAATTGAAATTTTTTGATACGAAAACTGTGTTTACTCCAAGAAGAGATCATGGAATGGTCCAGATAAATATTATTGGGATGGGTTATTCAAAGAAATCAATATATCGTCTTCCATATCAGTACTCACGACCTTCAAAAAAAGGATTTGGATAGTTTATACGAAATGGTTAAAGAAAATCGGAAATTGGAAGCTATTCAACGTATGTCTGATGAAGTTTTGTTGATTGAAGCTAACAGAGCATAACATATTTTGGACACAACAATGATAAATGTAGAAAGATTCGAAGGCCTCCTTCTTCAGTCATCAGTTGATGAAAAATTGATAATTCAAAGAGATTGAATTGATGTTTTCGAAAATATCTCTCAAGAATATTGGAATTCAGACAATACAAATATATGAAAAGAATTTGTTGGCAGATGGCTTCATCGTTGTCAGAATGATGGATGATGAACATTCTGTGAAAAACTAAAGTAAATATTTTTATCGACATTGACAAGATATTTATCGTTTTTTTTTGCTGATTTTTAAAAAGTAGGTATATAAAAACTGACAATTTCTCAGAAACGGCTGGTTTGATTTCAAACAGTTGACCAGTGTTGGATAGAGAATAGAAATAGTTATCCAATGAGGTATCCTAAGACCCTCTTTCCATTGAAAAAAAGTTGAAAGCGCCATCTATGCTCCGATGAGTGACACCACACTATCAATTCTGTCACTGATAAGTACTGAACTTCGTCCGATCTTGAAATTTTATAATGTTCAAGGGTTAAGAGGCGGGATACTTTTAACGTCCGTCCCGGTACCAGTGATCTTTGGATATTAAAAATAAATATAGTTTAAAAAACTGGTTTCGTTTTGTGTGGACACCCGGCGATTTTGAAAAAATGTTTGACTGTACTTACGTATTTTGATGCGTAGATTACGAAACCGAAAAAAAAAAGCGGCGCTCTTCCTTATTTACAAAGTTACGGCCCTTCAAAGTTCAGAAAAGGGCAACTTTTCAGCCTTCTTTTTCACAAAATAAACTATTTAAAAACACAAGCATTTATTTACTAGGTCACCTTTACACCTTATTCCTCCTTCTTTAACACTTTTCACTTCAATAATCAACATTTTTCTTATAGAAATGTTAAAAAATGTACGGAGCTGCTTTTTGGTTACATATCACTGTATTTTACGTTTTTAAGGTTAATGATATGGTTGGTACGACTGATGCAGTCAGTATTCCTAAAGTAATTCAAATGTTTTTTGCCTTCATTCTTTAGCTCGTAAATTGGTTTTTGGCACTTTTCTTGAAATTACAACAAATGTACTGAGCTTTTTATTCGGTATTTTCATAATCCGCTTTCTATTGCATCTATACCTTAACTTAAAGTGTCATAATTTAATTTGCACCCTTCATTGCAATTAGTACAACGTATTGTTGCTGCAAACACTCCTACTTGAACCAAATATAGAATTAAATTATTTCTTACTTTCACTAGATTATGAATTTCGTTCAAATTCATTTTGTATTTTTCTCTCACGTCAAACTAAAAACTCAAATCTACGAATTTAAAATAGTAGGTGAGGACAAATACCAACCGCTTTTTTCTGAAATGTCACTAGTATCTAACCTACAAATATATAAGAGTGTCACCAGGAGAAGCATTCGTTTTTAAATTAAGTTTTTTATAAGAAAAATATTGATTATTGAAGTGAAAAGTGTCAAAGAAGGAGGAATAAGGTGTAAAGGTGACCTAGTGAATAAATGCTTGTGTTTTTAAATAGTTTATTTGGTGAAAAAGAAGGCTGAAAAGTTGTCCTTTTCTGAACTTTGAAGGGCCGTAACTTTTTAAATAAGGGAGAGCGCCGCTTTTTTCTTTCGTATTCTACGCATCAAAATACGTAAGTACAGTCAAAATCGCAGGGTGTCCACAAAACAAAAATTTACCAAAAATGCTGATATTATTGTGGAAAAAGCGTCGAGCGCTTGATATACAAAAAATATGGCACAAAGCCCCAACGCTTTTTTCACAATAATACCAGTATTTTTTGTTCGTTATTGCTTTGAGCTCATTAAAACATTTTTTTAACTTTTTAGTTAGATGTTCTTTAATGGCGTGTTTTTTAGTTTTTCAAACTATATTTATTTTTCATTATTTAGTTTCGTATGCTATAATAGCGTATTTTTTAGTCTTTTTAAACTATATTTATTTCATCTAAACTTTGGGAACAATCTGCCGCATATTGTTCAGAAAAATTACCATTGATATTTTCCGAGAGGAAGCCTGAAGATCAGCTACCAAGCCCAAGGCAGCAGGCGCGCAAACGAGGGTTACAAATAAGGCAGCAGGCGTGTTGATAAAAAAATACTTTTTTCAAATGAAGAAATACATGTAAAGTGAGTTCGAATTATATCAAGGATATTACGTACATCGACATCTGCCCGCGAATAGATCAAGCAATAATATCGATATATCAAAGAGGTTATGTACAGCGCCATCTGCCCGCGAAAAGATCGATAATTCTGTCAAATACAGATCCCGAGGTTGAGAGTAACAAACAAACAAACATACATACATACAGGTAAAGCTAATAAAAGCGTGTTAAAAAAATTGAAGCACATATGATGAGATGTAGACATCCGACGAATACAAGAAAAATACCGTTCATTAACCTAACGCGTGTAATGATACCGAAGTAGACGCATAAAAAAGGTCGACAGAGATCGATCAAACTAGCCGCCATGAAGGAGTCGTAAAAAACGACGTATCTTCGCAAAATGAGAATACCCCCCACGTATATGAGGATATGGAAACAGGGTCAGCGATAACGGCCGAAATTCGGCCAGGCATGAAAAGGTAAGAACGTTCTTTTAATATCTGATCCCACTATCAGGTGATATACTTTGCATTTCGCCCTTTAACAGCCCATTTCGGAAGCGTTGTAAAATGTCTAGGGCCTCGAAAACGGCGTGATAGGGTTGTTTATTTTATCGAAGGGAATATATAACATCTCCGATGTTCGTGTATGATTGTAACGCGAAAAATGTCCTGAAACCAACAACAATAAATTGCACACATTCTTTGGAAGGCTTTTTTTATTGAGAAGTTGCTGATCCTTTTATGTTTTTTGAGTTTTTAAACTGCCGTAACATGAAAATTCAATGTATCTGCCCAAATGGTGAACGTTAAGAATATATAGAGCATAATCTCCATGGACACATCTCATGTGTCTCCATGGACAAAAAATCAGAGTCTATATACGCGCGGCAATACATAGTTTCTTTCCTTGTCCAATCCATGGAAAGGGAAAGGTGAGAGGTGAAAAGTGAGTCCTCATTCCAAAGATCAAGATCAATGGACAGGTACATCATCCAAAACAAGTTCCGTTCTCAAACACCAAAACTGCAACACTCTTGTTCAAGTGCGTTTCACCAACCAACTTGGTGTCTTCAGGAGATGGAGTAGGCGGCCACTTTTTGACAAGTACCTGTCACGGCGTAGTGATGTATTCTTGGAAAAAGTGAGTGAGTCAGTATCGTTCATTTGATAGGCAAAATTCATAAATACGGGCTACTAGAAGGTGATTTTCCAGTTTGCCTCGAGAAAATTCTCTTCCGATCTGAGTTTATTCATTTTCCACATTATTGAAGGTTGATATACGAAAAACGTAAGGAAGGAAACAACTGAGGAAACAACTATTTCATTTCATTCAACGAAATAATATATTTTTTTCGGTAGTCATTCTCTTTGAGCATTCGACAGCTTCATTGAGCATAAATCTATCTAAAACATCATGTCTCTGCTGTGAACAAAGATAGAGTGCTGGATACGAATGATTCATATTATATACTTTAATTTTCTCAAGAAATATTCACGTATTCATCAATTTCTATTCCAGCCTCTTCAAAGTAATACCCCTCACATAAAATAAGCGTTTTTTCTGATCTTTGGAGCAGCTCTGATATGCTCTCTATGGTATGTCCTTGAGCTCTGTCAGCGATTCGAATTCATCTCGTCAATCGTCGCGAAGCGTCGTTCTTTCATGGGTGTAACGTCATTAAGCAAAAGCCACGAATTGTTTTTTCAGAATACCATCTTGGCTCCTCTGGGCTCTTCCATTGAAACGATTAGATTTTGGTTGCGATTTTATAATCATATACCCATGATTGGTCACCAAATCATCACTTTCCTGCCACGCGGTTCATGCATGGAAAAATTGCATGGCATGAGCCAATCGATATGCCGACATTTCCAGCCACTTCTCCAATGGTCATTCGATGATTATCAATATCAAGATCCATCACTTTTTCAACATTGATGTGCTAGGGCGTCTGGGCCAAGCGTCGTCACTCACTTGTAAACATATATCACCGTATGCCACAGTCAACATTTCTCGAGTAAACTCACTTGACAGTGATTGAACAAACAAAAACCGGTCATAAAAATGAAAAACTTGGTAGAAATGAAGCAAAAGTTATCTCCTTTGACCTATATTGAAAAAGTATCTCTACTGATCATCAACAGATTCGCTCTCGTGTTTACTTTCATGCATGTTGTATAGTTCGTTGAGTACTTCGTGAAATATAGTGATATTGTTTTTTTGTGGGTGTTCCGCAAGTGATAATTCAAATATAACGTTGAATAAGGTACCCAAGATGAAGACAATTTGTAAAATATTCAAGAAATAATATAAATCATGGAGGAAACTCTGTACTTCAATATGAATAAAAGGTCAATTTGGGTTTATGAATAAAGTACTTATAATTTCTCAAAATGAAACATAAATTCTGTCCCACTTTCGAAAAATGTTTATCATATAGAGGAACATTACCTTATTCCAATAAATAAATAAAAAACTTTCATTTCGTAGTGAGTTTCACGTTTAATTTGGAATTATTATTAATTGAACTGTTTTCATGAAGGTATTATCGAAAAAATTCATCAAACTTCCATCTGGTAACCCAATGATGTTAACTGGTTATTTGAATGGAGATTTATCTGTCAATTGAGTGATATTTCTATTATCAATCAATCAATCAATATGCTTTATTGTCGAAAGATTAGTATCTTATTGACAAAGTCTGTAAAAAACTCAAATGAATGACATAAAATTAATGAAAAATACAAAATACATAAAATATGAAAACACAAACATAGCAATTTCACAAATAAAACATTAAGAAGACAGATGAATTTAGGTGAACATTATAGGTTATCATGGTATCATGGATCGAAAAATAAGTTTTTTTGATTAAAAGATCTTCAACTGTACTTCGGAACTTTTTGATATCTGTGCTATTTTTTAGAATTGTAGGAAGGTGATTATATACTTTAATACTATCATAAATCAGAGAATGCTGAGTCAAGGTGAATTTTGGAATATAGTTCTGTCTGGTATTGTGACAATTTGTTCCGGGAGTGTATATGCTAGTTTTATTTTTATGAATTAAGCATACTGTTTCCATTATGTATAAACAGGTGACAGTTAATATTTTGTGGCTGATGAATAAATGCTTGCAGTAATCTCTCGGCTTAGACTTTGTAAGGTATCTCAAAGACCTCTTCTGTAGCTTAAATATCGTATTCTGTAACTGTAAACTACAATGGTCCCAGAAAGCTATTCCATAGCGAATATGAGATTCAATCAGTGCAAAGTAAGCCATTCTAGCTGTAGTGTACCCTAGTTCATTTGATATCACTCTAATAACATAACATCCACTAGATACTTTAATATTTTAATTTATTGTATATGTGAATGCCTAGAAATTTAGTGTGCTGTTTGTTTTCCTTGTAGTGGTTATCCAAATCTAAATCGTATACATTTGAAGGTAACTAGTTTTGTTTTGTTCAGGTTGAAGCACAAGGAGTTTGCGTTACACCAGGCTTGAATTTGTTGAATATCTATTTTTATCGTATTTAATAGCTGATTAATTTCTTCATTACTCCATATAATAGTGGTATCGTCGGCAAATACAGTGAATTGTTCTGCGATGTTGATGGTTATTAGGTCATTTAAGTATATTAAAAACAACACTGGTCCTAAAACAGACCCCTGAGGTACTCCATGTTTTATGTCACTGAGATCAGACTGTCCACTTGATGTTTTCACCACCTGTCGACGTCCTGTCAAATATGAACCAAACCAGTTCAAATTTGTTCCTCTTATCCCATAATGGCTGAGCTTCCGCAGCAGTGTCTTATGATCAACGCAATCAAAAGCTTTCGAAAAATCACAAAACACTGCTGCAACAGCCTTGCTATCATTTATGCTAGAGTATGCATTTTCTAGAAAGGAAAAAATGGCATCTGTGGTGTTTTTCGAACTTTGAAAACCGAACTGAAGGCTAGATAGCACATTGTTCATCGATAAGAAGGACATTAGTTTTTTTTCACTAATCTATTGGTAGAGAAAACTCGCATCGTACCACAATTAAAAGCTGTATCACCAGTAACTTATAGATTCATATTCGGGAGTCTTCACTCATTAAAAATTCCAAAATTCACATGAAAATAAAGTTTGT